CCGATCTAGAGAGCATTAGGGCAAATATTGCACGATATAGCATATACTATACTGTACAGACTAACGCGGCTATACTTTTTATTCATCATATTTATGTTAGTTGTTACAGTGAAAATATTTGTGAGCCTTGATTGACAAATGTTTAACTTAATAAGTATCACATGTTAATTTCACATTATGAAAGCTTAACTTGAATAATTCTCGGATTCAGATTGAATTTTATTGTCATGAAATCATTAAAAGTCGTGAAAATTGATTTCCATGTTGCAAATAAGAATAAGTGATATAAAGACCATTGAAATATTAAGCTATGCAATGGTACAGAATTGCACAAAACGATATGTCGCATAGGTAGTTTAGGCCTCATCGTGAAAATGCCTTATTTGAGGCATGTCGGATTTTACATGGAATAAGTCTCTAAACCTATTTCTTTTGATAAATGAAGTTCTTAATTTCCCGGATGTGTTTATACAGCGACAAAGTTGTGAAGTTGATGTATAGTTCCAAATTTCTTAATTGTAGCTTTGTCACATAGTAGTTCTTCATACTGTTGGCATTGTCGTCGTCATTGTTGTTGTCATCGTTGTTTTCTTTGTCATTGTTGGGCAAATAGTTGTTACCACGATATCTAAAGTTCAGTAAGACCAATTGGTTTTAAACTTGGCAGAATGCAAGACATGGTAATAAGAAGACGGAGCCTATTGTTTTTGGTAAACGTTAAACATCTTAATTCAGCAAATTGCGTTGCTGAAAGCATTTCTAGTCATGATAACGGCTGACGCAAGTGCTGAACACTACTATTCACCTTAAATTTTCGCGACACCAGCCGTCGCTAGTGACAGTGTGCTGTGCTTCCCAAAGTAGGCCTAGGCCTATTATACAGTTCGTTAGGAAATAGTGCTTCGCCAGCATAAATAATACATGTTTTAATATGATTTAAATCAGACGATTTCCGGCCGCAACCTGTTGCTGTATTAATCTAGGGCAATGTAGATCCTGTCTCTTATACACATC